TATTATTAAGTATTAAGTGGTAAATGTACTCATATTTAGCGGCAACAGCGGGTGTTATGTCAAAATATGTATGTATGTAAGATATATAAAGATGTGCATATCAAATCAATTGCCTTTCCAACTATATCCACATTTTGAAATTCGGTACAATAGGTTTCGAAATATAAGCTTTTGAAAATATTGAAAATTCCACCTTTACCCTCCCCTAGCACCGCCCTATTAATTTGCACACAAAAAAAATTACACCTTTCAAATCAGTAGAAAGGAGCTGACCCCGCCCACTTTAAAGTTTTGTTTTATCTCAACGGCCGCTATACCGCATCCATGCCTCAAAACGAGTCTACGATACGAATGAGTGTAACATACAAAGAGTCAAATGAGTTAGTTGAATGAGCTGACTCCTTAAAGTGAGTTGGAGTCATTGAGTCAACTCCTATAAATTTGCTGAGTTACCCACCCTTAATCAAATCCTTTTAAGCTCAGTATATCCAGTAAAAAAACTGTGGTGAAGTCCTTTATGGGGATAAAGTTTCCAGAGGTGAAATTTTAGGTAGTACACAATTTCTTACACGCATGGTTGCTTTTCAGCACTCTTGAAAGAATCTTAAGAAATGTTTGAAAAATATGTTCATATAGTACATAAATTTTTGAAATAAATACCATATAATGTATGTACACTGGTTAATAATATCAAAAAATGTATTAGAACCACCATTTAATGTTATATTTGATACAAATTAATTTTGCTGTCCCGAACGCTCTGCGCATTGCCACTGAATGATAGATGTACTTAAAATTACATCCCTGGTCCTTGTTCCTTCTGTATCGCATCGTGGTGAATTCACATTTCTTAGAAATTTGACAACAAAACAAAACAAAGGGAGTATTTTATTTACTAATTTTTGCGATTTCTATTGTTTAATGTAAATGTATGTCTTTTTAGGATATGTTGAGCCAACAAAGAAGGCGCTTTTGGAAAATGGAGTTATTAGTAATGAAGTAGCGGGCATATTTGGAAAATTATGCCTATGAGCAGGCTGGAATTTGGGAAAGTAAGTGCCTGCTTGCAGCATATCTATGTATTAAAAAGTATTTAATTAAATTGTTTAATAGAAATGTTATAAATCGAGTGGCTCATTTACGATGTGCTCCAAACATTTGGCGAACTTTTTTTCGCCTTTTCAACGTGCTAAGTAACAAGTTAAGATGACTGCCCTCACGGCCGGTAAGAAACCGCAAGGAAAGGGCAGACGATCTTCCAGGAAGCTGCCTCCTCTCCCCGAGTCGAAGCAGAAGTTCAGCAAGAAGCAGGTCAGCAAACTGCTACCCTGATCAAACGTAAACTAAAGCGCTCTGCTGTGATTGCACTCTGCAAACGTGAAAACTTCGTGCATGCTGAGAAATATCAAACAAGAAAACTCGGTGATGGACGCCGTGGGATGAAGTTGCGCTGTGTGGCAAAGAAATGCGGCCAATTCTACGGGCCTGAAAAATCCAAATTGGCTTTTGTGATCCGTATCCGCGGTATCAACAAAGTTGCACCAAAAGTGCGTAAAGTGAAGTGAATTGATGTACAAACGTGGAATTGTCAAGCACAACCATCAACGTGTCTCAATCTCTGACAGCTTTGTGATCGAACGCAAATTTCGCAAAGCGCACGAAATTCAGTGCGTAGATTATTTGGCGTACGAAATATTTACTGTTGGAACCGACTTCAAGAAAGCCTCCAACTTCCTGTTGCTACTCAAGCTCAACACATCAATCCTAGGCTGGCGCAAGAAGGCTAATCACTACGTTGAGGTTGGTGATTTCGGTAGCCGTGAAGATAAGATTAACAAATTGCTGCGCCTGATGGCTTAAAGAAATTGTTGTTTTGTATTTAAGGCGACAATATAATTTGGCACATCTTCAAAAGTCGCCCAAGCAAAAAAAGAAAATGCAAAATTCCTGAAGTTGGCTTTACACGGGTCGATTTCTGTCTGTTTAAAATTGACTGAGATATCGACTAGCCAAAACGCTTACATTTTACGGTTGAATTGCAATTTACACGGGTAGATTTTGGTTAAACGACAAAAATCGACCGTGGTAGGCAGCTTAAATAACGTTCAAATTAGTCATCATCTTTGAGATGGAAAATACCAATAACCATTTCATAATTTCGAAAATTATTCCATTTATATTTGTTCTTGCATTTTCCACACCACCTGTGAGGTATGCTTTTAGGCGCGTTACCGATTTTTTTTAAGGTGCTCGGTTCCCCAGGAGGCCTATTTTCACCTCTACAACTTAACTTAAAAGTAATTAAAACTAAAGCATGCAATATATAAAGAAAATTAAAAACTCTTACATCTAGTAAACTTAAAAAATTGCACAAATTAAATTCATTTTTCTTTATAAAATAAAATTAAATATCACAATTCAGTTGAAGTGTATACATATGTACATATTTACCAAAAGTGGTCTGTATGCACCCACAGTAAGTTCCCATAAAACCTAGCCTAAATTCAGAACTGAAAAAAAAACGAGCAAATGGGGTCGGAAACTACTAGCTTTAATGTGGAAAATGTTTGAAGAGCTGCGAAACTGTATTGCAATAATAAAAATAACAGTGCATAAATTGAAAAAATTGTTTTTGTTTTGCTTTATAATTTTTGGGAATATTGGTTCAGATGGACTTCGCGATAAAGCCGATTATTAAGTATACGAAACAACTAAAGGCATGAGAAAGGCGATATTCCGGGTAAAATATAGAGAAATTCTATTGAAATTCATCTGTGGGAAATACATAAAAATTTTTAAGGAAAAATATGTTCTTATTCTAATGAAAAGATGTATGAGCACATTAGGTTGAGAATTACTACAACAATAAAAGGGTTCTATGTCATGCATTTTGTCAAACAAAGCTTTAGAAAAACCTATCAAATGGCAACAGGCATCGAAATTTTCGTTTATTGATTTATCAAGTTTTGCAAGAAACTATGAATCCAGAAGGAGCTTTTACTAAATTTTATCTATCATACTCCTTCTCTTTAGTAAAGGTAAACGCGTCTTCCGGAATTTCACCTTCCTCAAACCGTGGTAGGGGCTCCAAACAGTTATGTAATTTAAAATATTCGTAGTAAATGTACCCGCAAAAATACGCAAAAGAATTCCTTTGAAGAAAATTGCTTTCAACTACATCGACATCAATAATGCTTCTTATATCTTGATACGCTTGGGGTCTAGGCAAGCTTTGAAAAGTTTGTCAAGAAGTATCTTGAACCAGAGGATCAGTACATACTCTTTCGAGAGTGCTAAACGAAAAAAACTCCCACTCAGCGCTAGGCAAAGGTTCACAATTTCCACTTGTGACAAAGTTTACATGTCTGAGGCCCCAGGATTGCCTGAAAAGATCGGAGAACATGGACGGAGTTGTTCTCGGATTTAATCCTCCCCCCCCTTCTAATCTGCCCAAAATAACGTTCGATTTCGTCCTGGCAAAGTCTTCTGGTTAGTATATGTTCGAAACCTTCCTCTGACAAAGTACGCCACAATCGTCTCAAGCTTTGGATGTTGATAAGCCAACCTTTGATAAAGGAAAAAGTGTTCGTGATATCTCGTCCGACAATGTCATGAACAACTATTGAATAAAGGGTTCTTTGGGCTTCGATCAAAAATTCTAGTTGGTCTGTGGTTCCTGAATAAGGTTGGCCATGTTTTCTTAGGGCCCCAATCGCTTTAGTATTAAAGATATTAAAGAGTTGGTCGAAAAAAAGAGCGAATTCGGCAGTATTTATGAAGCTTGCAGATTGAGAAGTATTAAGGTTTCCGGTACTATATAAAGATAGCATTCCACTAGCAACCGTATTGCTCAGCACTTGAGCAGCTAGACGAACACTCATTTTTTCAAAAGATGTGGGACTAAGATGTGCCGTTGTCAATTTAGGCGCACATCGTATACCGCGATGGGAATCCTGTTGATGAAAATGCAGAATGTCTGTTCATTTGACAGGATGTCCGCGAAAACTAACATTGTTTTTTTTACTTTGAATACAGTTTCGTGTGCTCTTCAGAAGATGAGGAGAATCGTAGAAAAATACAATTTCTTCACCGTTAACTTCAAAATACGACCTATTTTCTGTAATTCCTACGATACGGGCGAAGTTAACGAAATTGGTTCCCTAGTCTGAAACAAATTGGCAGACTTTAAGACCAATGCCCTGGAGTTGGCCTATAACTTCAAAAACATATTTCTTTAAAACATCCCCCTTACATGAGTTGTGAACAAAAAAGTAGGCGACTGGCTGAGACCAGCGAAGACCGCCAATGCCTTGGGCCATCATGCATAAAACACTATTAGCTGTCCTAGAGGTGCGATTTTCATCACCATAATCTTCTAAACCTACTATTAAATCCCTATTCTTATCATATTTCAAATGGATTTTTAGTGACATTTCATCACAGCATAAAGAAATGAATTTTTGCTCTCTAGTGAATCCTCGGCTTCGCAACTCCAGGGATTTGATGCTGCTAGTAGAGCAGCCAGGGTTTCTTGGCCAACCTTTAATAAAGTTAGAGAGAGTTGTTGAGGAAGGCCAGTGGAAAAGGGGTCGCAAGTACCTATATGCTAACGGGGAAGTAAATCTAACTCCTAACGCTATTGTTTTCAACCCTCTGTCAAACCGCCGTCCATTTGGATGCCGGCCATCATTATTTATGCAACCTCTCACACACGCTGCGAGATGTGGAGGCATTTTACTGCATACTGCATCGATTTGACAGTTGCGAACCTGCCGCAGGACAGGTAAGCTTTGGCTTTTCAAATTTCTTATCTCCTCCTCTTTATCTAATATAACCTTTTTTAAACCTTCTATTTCAACTTTAGCTTCATCTAATTCTTCCCGATATTTTCTTTTTCTAGGAGACTCTTCACTAAGATAATCTTCAGTTTGCGTTTCTTGGTTGCGTACCCCTAATTGCGATTCATTGTGCTTGCCTAAAGAGGAACAAGTTGGATGTTCAATTGGAAAGGGTTGAAGAGTCTCCTCTAAGGGAACCTCCAATTCAATCTCATCATCGATCGAAAAGCAATGCCCTTCTACTGTTATAAAATCCTCTGAACCTAAATAAATAATTTGCTCGCTTATATCTGCCTGTCCTTCTAATCTACCTGAATCTACACCTACTGTGGGTGCATGCAAATTTAAATCAGGGATAGCACCCTTAGACAGTTTACGAAGGTTCCGATATCTCGGGGAAAAGTGCCTCTGGCATGCATACAGCTCCTTGGCTTCGGTACTTGTTGACACTCCCAGAAGCCTCATCCACTTCAAACGCCTATTAAAATAATAAATAATATTAAATAATAGGTTTTAAACTATATTGTAAATTAATATAAAATAATGAATAAGAAATTACAAAAAACGAAATGCAACAAAAAACACAAAGCCAAGATGAGGAAATAAAAAATCATGAATTTATGTACAACGAATAAAAAATGAAAGAAAATTAAACGCAATGAAAAATAAAGCCATGATGAGGGAATAAAAAATTTAAATCAAGAAAATATACCAACCAAACTTTTTTCTTTTCCTCGTTATCCTTCCTCCAAAATGCGTCGAAAATTATTTAAGAATTTCAATGGTTTTTATTATTAACTAACCAGAGAAAAAATTACAGAAAATACAACCATTTTGATCGATTATTCCTAAAGATACGAAAATACTTTCACAATTTACAAAATATATAAGGAAGTAATAATGTAATTCTTAATAAATCCACGAATTCCATGTTCCGTCAAATTTCACGTTGATCACTTTACATATCCAATCAGTTAGTCAGTCGATGGCTAAAATTTAAGAAAATATATAGAAAACGTTAGGTATTATAGGGTACCGAAATATTGAAGACGCATTACATGTATGCACGCACAATTTAAATACGATAAAACTTGGAATTAAAAACTTTTAGGCTGGATATTTTCGGTTTTAGATAGGTGTCGACCTAAAGCCGAATTCCATACACAACATTAAGAGATTCCAAAACTTAATTAACCTCCAAAAGCAGAAATTTACAATACTAACAGGTACAATGCAGACTAAGCATACGTATAAGATGGCACCTTGGTCAAATGATCTATTTCGATTCTACAACTCGCCCTATGAGACACCACTACATATTTTCATCCTGTTTGATAAGCCCAGGTTCGATATGGCCACAAACTAAGCCCATTCATTCACTCCCTACCTCTTAAGGCGCTGCAGCTTTTTCTGAGGGATTTAGGTTTAGAGGAAGTATTGTGAAGATTCAAGGGCACAATAAATCACTAGATCGTAGTGTCCACCTCATTTTAATATCTACATATCTATTCCAATACAAATATTCCTCAAAAATGCACTTTCAGCTTTTTAAGACTGGTGGTCATTTAGACACGCATGCCCGCCTAACCATGAATTTTACACAAATTTCGTTACAGAATTTGTTGATGTTAAATATAAAGAACACTCAAACAAAACTATGATCTTCTATCTACATTAGTTGTTTAATGGGATCGAAAAAAGTGCAGAGCAGCTCAAGCTAGAGCTGAATAGAGCAACTCATCTCAAACATCTCATGAAACACTTTTCATTCAGAAATTCTCAAAACAGTTGATTGGTCGACAGTTCAATTTGTCATTTGTAAGGTGTGTTGTTGTTGTTGTAGCAGCATACAAGTTCCCCAAAGGGTTTTTGGGGAGTGTTGCTGGAGTGACAGTCCTTGGCCAGATATAAATCTGGGGCGTTCCGGTTACGTAGACCAGACTGTCGTGGGAACGCTTTGTAAGGTGTGTGTTTGTGCTTGCTCGAAGTTAATCCATCAAAAAAGCTGATGCTGAAAATCGTACTCTAAGTGGCTCTAGTTACATTTAGCGCAGGCTCATGAAACATAAAGTAGAGCAAGAAAAACCTCTATGAAAGACAATCTTATGAAATATCTCAGCCTGGCGTAACCTAGAGCAGCTCATTAAAGACAACTATTTATGAGTGAAGACTTAATTTGATGCTCATAGTTGGAATCAAAACAATGTCAACCACGTGGGCAAACCTGAGGCACACATACTCAATTAAGGCGACATTCAAATCCCGTCTATACTAATAACACCGAATCCAGCCGTTTGCGCCTCTTTTTCCAGTATTATTCATATAATTTTATCAAATTTATACTCAATAAAAAACATACCTTGGCATTTCTCCCTCCGATGGAAACTTATACAAGGATCCTTGTTCTGGACATCTGGATACACACCATTTCGGCATCTTCCCTGAAAGGGTATACATTATTAGTAACTTCGATTTATTAACAATATTAATATAATCACTTTTTACGTTATTTATCACTTTCGAAAGGCTTTAATCCACAATTTGTTCCGAAACTTTTAGACGGGCGCACTTATTTAATTATTTGTTTTGGTTTTTCAGCTCATTAATGATGCACCCAGGGTTGCATTTACCGTCCATGAAAATATTTCATGGAGCGTTCCAAAACTAGCTCCGAGCAACTGAAAGTTGGTTAAGCTTAAATGAAATAGTTGTTTATTAAATATTTATTCCTGGTATTTAGTAAAAAACATTCAGATCAATACTAATGTATGAAATGAAGTAAATAAAAATCTACGAATAAATTCCATGAATATTTTGTCATAGAGCCATTATTAAATTTAGACATAATTTAGTGAAGCGTTGGTACTGACATATATAGAATTAATGCGTTAGAGAGAGATAAATATACAAGCTCAACGCGCTAACTTAGGTATACTTGCATGTATATACCTGTTACTCGTCTGGCATATACTCCAACTGCAAAAATGAATAATGACAATTATAATTTATGTAGATCCCTGGATAAAGGATTGTCACAAGTTACTTTCGGTAACTCACGATTGAAGTTTGGAATGCAATTTCTCAGAAACACGACTACAGATTTTCTCCAAAGTGTCGGAGAATGCTATGTACTAGTTCATGAAATTCTTAAATTATCTTATTTTTTTTTAGTTTAGTGTCAACCATTTATGAGTTTAATAAAATTTTATCGTATACGACATTTGTTAAAAAATTTGCAGTCATTTTTAATGATATACGCCAAAATGTGATAAAAATTTTTATAAATTAACATACTTTTTACTAATCAGCCTAATCGTGAGTTTCGCCCGAACAAAATTTCGCCAACAATTTTTTCATCCACCTGTAGTGAATACACGCAAACGAAAAGTGAAAAAGTGACCCGGTTCTAGAAAATGAAACTCATGATAACGCTGAATATGTCCGAAACTAAAGAAGAACAGATAACTCTATTTGAAAGATCTTGATTAGTTTAGTACGACAGCAATACTAACGCAATTTGTACCAAATATCCGAAAACATTTTGGTCAATTACTCGGAAACTAAAGAAGATATCCAAAAACCACACAATGTCAATTTGACACTTCCGGCAATTTTCCATCCAAGCGACGATATTTGAATAGGTTTGTATAGTTACCAATAGTCAGTACTAATTTGTACTGGAACCTGCAAATTTTTACTAGAAAAGTGTATGATAACCCAAAATATTTGCAAGAGAGCACTGAATCGAGAGCGTAACAACACGAGAGCTGCAAATTCTTGCTAGTGAAATTTTTACTAGCAGAAATTAGCTAGCAGAAGAAGAAGAAGAATAAATGTCAAAAGCCCCCATTTTTTGAATTGGTTTAGCACAAACCAAGACGAATTTATATAAGGTGGTGTTACTTGCTCAGCTGATTTTGTGTATGTGTTTCGCCGCACGGCTTCTGATATCAAATTGAAAAATTTTGCTTGAATTTCTACACACACTCTTACAGATTTTGACAGTTTATGCCGCCAAAGCAAAAAAAAAAAAAATACATGTAAATTTTTGTTTTTGTACTCCTGCAATCACCTTATATTGATTCGCCTTGGCACAAACAAAAGTAAAATGAGTGGAAATAAAAATATTAATGATGTACTGGACAGTGTAAGTGCTTGTGTGTAAAGCAAAGAGTTTAAAACTGATTTATAAATAGTAAAATGTTTACAGCAGATTGTCAAAGCAGTGCAACAACTGTTCACTTGCAAGTTTTTGCTAGTTTTGTGTTCAATAAGTTCTTCTGCTAGTTTTCTCTTCTTCTCATTCTAACGCTCTATTTTGCTTTTACGCTCTCGCTGCAATGTTACTGTTACTATACAAACCTAATGTTACTCGCATATTTTCGAGCCTGTATGTAAATTTTCGGGAAAAAGGTTAATAAGTATATTCATCTGCTGAAAAGATATTTTCGCAGATTCACAATTTATTTAAAATAAATCTATTAGCCCAATCTCCAATTCCATGTGAATAAATCTCCCCAGTGCTTAAATAATTTTCACCACATTAAATAGCTGCACAACACCCTAATTGCCGAAAAAACGTTGCTTGCAACACTAGTCCTTTATGGAGACCAAACTTGGCGAGAAAAAAATAGCTAAGTTTGTTTACTGGATATACTGAGCTTTTAAGAATTCGAACTACTACTATGGCCTGATTAAAATAAGCGATAATGGAAGCAAATGTCAGGCCAGAGAATGTCTATGATTAGTGATGTACTGAATTTTCGGTACCCAATACTCGGCACCCATTATTTCAGAAAGATTTCGGTACCCAATACTTCCTTCTCGGTACCCAATACGGATTCTATACTGTGGCGAATACTGCGGCAACACAAAGCGAACAACGAGAAATAGGCA